GGAGCAGGGGTCACAGAGGCTGCAAGGGCGGGGGGTGCAGGGCGAGACAGAAGCAGGGGTCACAGAGGCTGCAGGGCAAGGGGGGATGCAGAGGCTGCAGGGCAAGTGGAGAGCAGGGAAGCACTTAGAAACCTCCAACCAAGATCAGAGCAGGAGGGAAGAGGGGGAATGCGGGGTGCTCAGAGGAGGGGGCAGAGTTGGGGCAGGGACTTTGGGGAAGGGGTTGGAATGGGGGCAGGGAAGGGCCGGGGGTGGGGAAAGGGCAGAGTTGGGGCAGGGCCAGGGCCCCCATGGAGTGTCCTCTTTTTTCAGTGTTGAAATATGGTAACCCTACTTTTAACTCCCCTCTGCCCTAACTCCACAGACATCTCCCTGATGCTGGGCCTAGTGGTGACCTCCAAAGTAATTAAATTTAGATCAAAATACCATGCTTGGTGCCCAATGTGTTGCTAAGCTGTAAAAAGGGCCGCAAACTCAGAGGCTGCGGCAGAGGGAGCTGCCTAAGGCAGCTCCTGACCAGATCCTCTCTGCCAAAGGGGGGTTTTCGGGCTGGCCCCGTCTCGCTGGTCACTGCCCAGTGGGGACGGGGGCCGCAGCCTGACCACGTTGCAGCCGGTGGAGGCCAACCCCAACAGCAGCGACTCCACCAGCTAAGCAGGGGTAGGAGCCGCCTGTGCCTGGCCCCCAGCAGGAGGCGCAGCCAGAGCCCCCGGCAGGAGGCCCGAGCCACACAGCTGCAGCGGCCCGCAGCCAGGGCCCAGGGCGCGCTCCGCCCTCAACGCCCCCGCGGGCCCCGGCCCTTGGGCACTGCGCCCGGAGCGGCGCATCGGGCAGCCCAAGCCGGCCCGGCCCCACCCGACCCTGGCCGCTTACTCGTCGCTCGGCCCAACAGCAGCCGCAGAGCCATGCCGCGCCGAGCTGCGGAAGACGCTAGGCAGACAGGGGCGAGGGCCGGCCTGAGTCTGCGCGGCAGCCGCCCCCTCACCCCGCCTGGGAAGCGGCGCCGGGCCACGCTGCGGGAGGGGGCAGGGCTGGGGGAGCAGCGCAGGGCGGGACAGCCGCAGACCTGCCACATTCCCGCCAGCCCGGATCTTCGCGCGCCCCAAATTCTCCCTGTTCCTCACAATTGACGCGTCTCGGGGAGTCTAAGGAAGGTCGCGACCCTGCCGCTGTTCCCCGCCCGATTCACGGCTCTCCCCAGAAATGGGGGTGAGGGGCTCACGGCTGGATGCCCAGCAGCAGGGGAGCGCTGCAAAGTAGCTCTAGCAAAGCGGTGTTTACAGCACATTTTTCATAAACCAGTGTGTGATCCCCTTCACTACTCCCATTAATAACCAAGCGTGTTGAAGTTTCCGATGCAGAAGGGACACAGGACTAGGCCAGAACTATCCACTTCAACATCACAAATCCCTCAGCTACTCCAGTCAGTGAGAGGTGCTTCAGAAATACTTGTAAAGGGGCCCCGCTCTCCCTCCATTAGGGCCCTCACTGAAAATAGTGGAAAAACCTATTCCGTGCAGTAAGTGCAAGACATGCTTCTAGAATGAAGAGGAGTCAAGAGGAATACAGGTGGCGCCACTCAAACAGAAAAATTGTTACAGTCTGCCCCCTTCCCCTACGGGGAAAATAAAAGTCTGGAGAATTTAGGTAGAGGAACACACAAAAGCACAGTCAAGAAGATAAAGCTCCTGTTGTCCCTTTGTCTACAAACAGAATGTACCAACCTTCACTAAATCTGCATGACTCTCTTCTATCCACACTCAAATTTAAGTGTCTTATATTGATTTAGCTCAAGTCAATCCCTGATCAAAGTGAAATCAATATAAAGCATGCTTAAATCAGCCTGAGAAAGTGTCCACACACTAAGACTCAAGTGGTTTAACTGCATCCATTTCTAAAAACAATTTACATGAATTAAATTAAACTTTTGTGTGTACATACAGCCTAAGCTATTGTGGGCAAAAGAAAAAAAAACAATCATGTAGGAAGTATTACAAAACACTGACCATTCTTGCTAATACATTCACTTTTTCAAGCCCATAAGGATAAAATAATACTATAGGATCAATTATAGAACACTTTTTTCACCTAAAAATTAGTTGAGGCATGAAAAGCCGGGTTTGGTGTATTCTGCAAACACAGAACTTACTTCTTGAGCCTGTAAGTGTGGATATAACACTGAAAACATGAATTGAATGTAACTGATGAAGTGATATCTTTCTGAGGCTGCAGAGAGTCTTGAAACAATAGTTCTGAGATGTGTGAACTGGGGTTCTGTGAACTCTGCAATTCCACAACCAGTTGACATTTTTCCAAGAAGCTACAGAATCCAACCATTTTACTGTAGAATTTGCCATTTGCTGCAGCTAAGTGTCTGACATTCTGTTTTCTGCTTCCCTGCACCAAAAGAACATGCCTGCCATCGTCTAGTGGGTTTTGCTGCAAAACATGTAGGGCCCTTTGTTTTTGGTTTTTATTTTTTTTCTGGGAATTTATCAGTGTTTATTACTACAACAAAAAATAGGTGAAAATCAGTGGAAAAAACTATTCATTTTTTGGGGTAACTATTGGGGTTTATTTTGGTGAACGGAAGGACCAGGGGGGAAAGTATTGAGTAGATTAATGCTTTGATGAATGGAATTCAATGTGGTTTGCTGCAGAACTAAAACAGAACTCAAAACACAATGCAACCCGTGAATTTAAGGAAAAAAAACCTCCAGTCCCCAAGTAAAACTTTTAATTTGAATAGTTTACTGTTGTAGACTTAGTACTATTAGCTTATAAATATTTACATTTAATAATTGGGTCACATGATTTGCAATGCAGACACACCACTGTTAGAATCATAGAATATCAGGGTTAGAAGGGACCTCAGGAGGTCATCTAGTCCAACCCCCTGCTCAAAGCAGGCCCAATCCCCAGACAGATTTTTACCCCAGTTCCCTTAATGGCCCCCTTAAGGATTAAACTCACAACCCTGGGTTTAGCAGGCCAATGCTTGAACCACTGAGCTATCCCTCCCCCCCAGATTGCCCCATTACTTTAGGGTCACTCGTTTATTAGGGTTACTCTTCTGGGGGGGCAGTGGGAGGGGGTTTCGGTAATTCTATCAATGTACTGCTTGTGTCACTTGTGTTCTCACACTGAGCTCTACTTCTCCCTTTTGCAATTTCCCTCCCAATGGAGCTATCCTGCAGGGTTCCCCAAAGCTGGATTCTTCCAGTCCTAGAATCAGATGAACACACACATTAATAGAGCGCGTCTGAGAGGACCAGGTTAATCAGCACTCCCAAGCTGACCCCTCATATGTCCCTGGACTCAGTAGGCTGGGTTGAGCAGCACTTCCAAGCTGTCATCCTCATATGCCATGGGCACTGCACTGGAATAGAGTATGCCTGAGCATGCTAGGTCAAGCAGCACTTTCAAGCTCCCAGTCTTATATTCCCCTGGACTCATCAGGCTGGGTCGAGCAGCACTTCCAAGCTGCCACCCTCATATGCCCCAGGTTCAGTACGTCCCTATCCCCACTTCACGTTACAATTGTTCTGGTAGTAACCTACAGGATTTTTGGGCGCTGCAGGGATCTTTAGCTTAGGTACGAGGAACGTTGCTGCAGAGAGAGAGAGAAAGAAGCAACTAGATTTATTGCCAGGTAATAACCCTACAAGGGGAGCCAAACAAACAAAACAGTTAGATTTAATATTCTAACTTAAATTTGATTACAAAAGTCAGGTTTAGAAAACTATAACTGATCACACAAGTCAGGGTCAGAAGGCTGTTCCAAGAGAGAGAGCTGGGTTCTCACCACTCTGTGAAGCTTGAATCAATCGGGGTTCCCAGGTGGTGATGGTGGTAGCTGAGGGTCCAGAGTGCTAGAGACAGGCATAGCCCCCAACAGGATCAGTCAGAAGAAGATGAAGTCCCAATGGAACTGATGCAGTTTTTGGATCCAGGCATCAGAGCACTTACTTGAGCCTGGGTAGGGGTTTTTGTAAAGAAAGAACAATGGTTCAAAGGAGAACACTAGATTTGTTTATGGGTAAACTGATGGCTCAAGGGAATATACCAAAGTTGTTTTGTTAAGGGTAGACAATAGGAATTGATCATTCCTGGCTCTGGGCGGTGTTTCTTCGAGGGAGCTCACAATGCAATTAGGCAGCTTCAGTATTTTGGATACCAATAAAGGATTTATTACTATAATTGGTCTGATAACTACTGAGCTGGATGTGTGGAGGCGTGGGTTCATTAACATCTGGAGCAGAGATCCCCCATCATGCAGTGCTTCCCGGCTATTCTGGTCTCAGAGTTCAGTGCAGTTCTTGCCTTGGAATCTCTGTTCTCCATTCTGCATGCTAATGGAGATGCCTCCCTGTCCCATCTTCAATGCAAACGAGGCTAGGGGAGTTTCCTTAATCCTGTCACCCTTCTTTGGAGGGGTTTAGGTTGGTCTTCCACTGCCTTTTAATTGCTTTTTGTAAGTCTTTCTTCTGATCAGCTTTGGTTCAAGCAGAGGCTGGGGGGTGGGGGGGAGGGAAGGTCTTTCGTGAGTCAGACAGGCTGGACACTGCGCCCTGGTTCCCTAAGAACACAACTTCATCCTTTTCTCCTGTTTTTGTTTTTTAAAAACTTTCAAATACTTCCTTGTGTTCTGAAACATATTCTGATACAGATTTTCATTTTCTTCCCATTTTAGTGTGTCAAATCTTTAAACCGTTATCTGCTGACAGCTTGAAATATGTATATGGTAGGCGTGATAGTCATCAGTACGTTCAGATGTGCACACTTCAGAGCTTGAGTGTGTGCCTGTTTGTTTACTGTGTGTGTCTTCTAGATTAATACATAACCTTACTTCAATAGGCAGCTTTGCATATACACGGAGACTAATGTATTACCGTAATACATATATATCATGCAACGTATTGTATTTTCCAAATAAGACAAGTTAATTTTATATACTTGACTGATACAAATATAGGGTGAAAATCGGAAAAAAACAAATACTTTTTGTAAAACCCAGGATTTTTTCTGTAAAAATAGGTTTAAACTGAAAATGGAGGGACTTAAAAATGTAGTAATTTCTGCTGAAGAATTTGGTCCCATTGTTTTGGCTATGAACAGCAGAGATATTAAGATGAGCTGAAGGTAGGGACTGAAAAAGAAAGTCAAAAGCCCTCTTTTCCATTGCCAAAAAGGCGGAAGGTGAATAGTGTGTGAAGACATCAGTTCCAGGAGAAGGAGAGTGGGTGAAAAAATCCCCCTTCACTCATAGGAAAAGACAGGTACCTTTTTGTAACTGTTGCTCTTCGAGATGTGTTGCTCATGTCCATTCCAATGTAGATGTTTGTGCTCGCCACATGCACTGGTGCCGGAAGTTTTTCCCTCAGTGGTATCTGTAGGGGACCGAAGCTGGTGCCCTCTGGAGTGGCGTGCGTATGCAACAGTATAAGGGGCGCCACTGGCTCCCCCCTCCCTCAGTTCCTTCTTTCCAGAAACTTCGAAAGTGAGGAAAGAGGGTGGGTCATGGAATGGACATGAGCAACACATCTAGTGAACAACAGTTACAAAAAGGTAACAGTCTTTGCTTCCTCATATGCATTCCTTTGTAGGTGACTCGCAAGCAGTAGCACCAGAGTCCATGAACCTGTCAATTGCAACACAACTCTGCCAAAGCCAGCATCATCTCTGGCTTGATGGGTGATGGTGTAATGCATCGTGAACATGTGCACTGAAGACCACATCGCGGCCCTGCATATATCCTGGATAGAGACATGCGTCAGAAAGGTAGTGGACCTCGTCTCTCTAGAATACCATATACAGGGGCTCCGTAGTGAGGGCTTTAATCTCGAAGACACGCCTCACTGAGGTAATCGCTACAAGGAATGGAACCTTCCATGACAGGTGGGAAAGGGAACAAGAAGCCATGGGCTCAAAGGGAAGACCCGTGAGCCTGGAGAGGACTAGGTTGAGGTCCCATTGGGGAACCACATCCCAGATC